AATAAAAAAAGAGAGAGAGAGAGAGAGAGAGAACATACATCTTTGTATACACATAAGGTAAGAGCTTCCATCTAATACCTAGATGGCAAGAGAAACCAAACCTATCTTATGCCAGTTAAAATAGTCTCTGAAGATAAAAAGATCTCTCCAAATTTATTTCTCTGCTGAATTGTGCTTTTCCTAGTAAGAGATTAAAAGTATGGTAACAATCTATGTTTAAGCCTTTTATTCATTTAGTCAGTGAAATTAAAATACTGGTGGATGGTAATTAAATAAAAAAAGCATTTCTAATGGAGCTAAGAGGGCAAGGTTCATTGTTTATGGTACTCTGCTCAATTACCTTAAAGCTGACTGCAGTTGCTTGATGTCATCAAGATCTCTGCATGTCTATACTCTGTTCTACAACAAAGATCCTCAAAGTATAATCATTGGACCAGCAGAAGCATCTCTTGGGAGCTTGTTATAAATGCAGTTTCTCAAGACTTACAAATACTGAATGAGAAACACTGGAAGGGGTACACAGAAATCTATGTTTTATCAAGTCTTCCAAATGTTTGTCATTTGTGCTCCAGTCTAAAAACACATTCCTAGTGGCATTGACATGGGCCATAGGTCTTTTGGATTTTTTGGAACCATATTGAGCCATACTTCAAGACTACTCCGAAAGGTCCAAAGGAACCTTGCTAACCTCTAACCCCCACAGCTCTTAGCAATTTCTTGAAAAGTCTGCGCACCATGGAATCTACATATCCAAAGCCATATGTCCTGAGAAATGGCCAGATATTTAAAAATTCTTGAAACTAGACACAGTATGTGTCACATATGGCCCAAATGAAAGACAATTCATTCATTTTTTCAACAAGTATATTTGAGCATCTTATCTATCCCTACTTACATGTCTGAGACAAGAGTCATAAAGTCTAAAGGAGAAAATAAGATAAAGAACACAATGATATACTAAATTTGAAAAGAGATCACCTCTGACTGAGGGAAATCAGACTCAATTTAAAGGAAACCAAACTACAGATTTAGTTGTTGAATATTTATACAATCAATGGGTAGCCATAGAGATTTTGAGCTTCCATAAGTTTTGATTAGTTTGGAAAGATAAATTTGGTGGCTGAATTTGAAACTGAAGATTTGAGATGAAACTAGATTCTCTGCTTCACCAATTTATCTCTGGGTTCTTGTCTCAAAAATTTGAAGAATAAAATCCATGGACAATAACAGAAGGGAAGAGTAAATAGAACAGTATTTATTTCAGTGAGAAGAAAAATGAATGCAAGAGGGCACCTGAGAGCAGGAAAATCCATTTTAGCATGCTAGCTCAAGGGCTTATATAGTTTTTTGGGGTATGAGAATTGATCAAAATCTATGTTAAACAGGCATTGAAAAAGTACCAAAATCATGAACTGTGTTCTTTAGCCTTGAGTTTTAATCTTTCCTGTAACTAGATTCATCCCACCTAGCATTTTTATAGACTCTGAGACAAAGGAGTCTTTGCATATGAAAAAGGTCTTGATGGGTCCATTAATGTTTTTACCAGGTAGTCCAGGAAGGTCCCCTTAATTGGGGACCATGACCATTTTCTATTCTTATTATCCATACAGAGAAAGAAAGTGAAAATTGGGTAAAATATAACAGCTGACAAATGAACTGAGCTTAACCTAGGAAGGAAATCGAACATAGACTCTTTGTACTAATGAATAGCTTTGAAATGACTAGCAAAAAAAGAAAGTAAATAGAACTTGCACCTTAGGTTTAAACACTAAAGCAGTGAGATGTTTTACTATTAAAATGAAAATTAAATAAAAGGTGAAGAACAGAACTTGGGATAGGAAGCTTGTTATGTTGTAAGCATGTTATTTTTAATCCTAGAGAAGACAAAGGGCAAAGAATAAGAATCTAACTAGAACACACCCCAGATTTAGAAGAGCTTCAACACTTTGTAGTGTTTAGGGGGCAAGCTTAAAAAAAGAAACTTCCCACAAAAAAAGTATCATATGCACAAAATAATATTATTCTGACTTACAAAGTACTCTCTTTGGCCTGTGATACCTGTACTACTCCTAGTAACACATTTATCCCATAAAAATAGACTATTGATTTATCTATTTTCTACTAGACTGGAATCACCTGACCTATATTGAAAAGAAAAATTTATATTTTATAGGAAATGCATGGGAATAGCTATAGAATGAGTATTTTAACTAAATATTAATCCCAAATGATATACTTCTTTATTATGTGCTATGATTGCTTACTCAACTAAAGTGTTTGCATCAGCACATGGTGCCATTTTAGACTGACTCTGGCCTATAGACAAAGCCTTCCTATGCCAAACATAATATTTTCTGGTGAAAATTGAATGTAATCTATCATATGTGCAATTATATCTTGAACAAAGAATAGAGGAAATACCAAAATATAACACATTTTGGATGGTTACTATTTTCTAAAACTTTTTTTTCCCTAAAAGCTGCTTTAAAAAAAGAAATCTTCAATAGTGTAAAGTTTTCTACCAGGGTTCCTATAGTGGCATTGTTAGCTTCTTAGATACCTGTTTTAACTTTCAGTGTATTAATCAGTTTTCTCAGTTTGCCCTGAAAATTGTAATCATAGAATGATTTCTAGACAGCTGTTAGAAATACCAGGGTGCCAAAGAATGAAACACTGCTTCAAACTAGCTCAGCAAGGAAAACTTGACTTCTGTTAGAAGGGTGTGCTACTGAACAAAGTCTGGCAAGCAAGAACACTTGGGTGGGCAGTCCACTTGTTTTTATCCCTAAGCCATCACTGTCCTCTGCTCTGATAGGAGGAATTTGGGATTACAATCTACACAACTGGCTAAATTTAAAATTGGGGCAGGCAAAAGGAAGGGCTACAGTTAAAATGGCTATGATAGGATAAAGATTGGGAAGCTCAAAACACCTATGATTGGATCTTAATATCCCACTTAAGGCTAAATACTATATTCTGAAAATGGACCACTGAACTTTCCACTTCTCACATGGCTCAAGATTATCTGACTATAAGAATTAAATTTATTTTCCTGGGAGAAATGAATGACAGTAGAGGGGGTAGAGAGAGAAGAGGGGAGGGGAGGGGAGGGGAGGGGGGATAGTAGAGGATAGGAAAGGCAGCAGAATACAACAGACACTAGTATGGCAATATGTAAATCAATGGATGTGTAACTGATGTGATTCTGCAATTTGTATACGGGGTAAAAATGGGAGTTCATAACCCACTTGAATCAAAGTGTGAAATATGATATATCAAGAACTATGCAATGTTTTGAACAACCAACAATAAAAAATTAAAAAAAAAGAATTAAACTTATATAAATCTCAGAAAGTGAGTGTTAGTGCCCCTGAAGTCTGAAGGAATATCCCCAAGTCACTGAGAGCAATGGTAAAAAAATGTTATACAATATTGGATATCTTATACTCACAGATTTTAAATTCATGCCTAACTCAAAGTTCATTTTATTCTAAAATTTATGAGAATTTCAATCCAATTTGATCTAATAATTGATTAATACACTAGAGCTAAAGATACTTATATTGATAGACTAACTAATCAAATTAACGGTATTTAGAATTGAGGTGAATTATAAATCCTGACATCATATTCTAAAACCAAAATTGATAAACAAGAAATCTAGAAGTTAAGTGATTTCTTATTCTAGAAATAACCAATGAGAAATTGAGATTCAAAATTAGAAAAAACAATAAGATAAAGAGAACACATGATAATAGTACTCAAATGTTTAAAGTTGTCATGTAAGAAGGGGGAAGATTGAGGAGAGAAATCAGATTTTAGTACTAACTTTCATTTAGTTTATGTTGTACTTTTTTATTCTTGTACCCAAACTGAATAGAATGATGACAAACAGTTTGGCATTATTTTATGTGTAAAATAAATGTATACCAGTAAAAAATGTTTTATATAATCATTCAATTTAATAATATTCTCAGTCTGCAACCCAAGAACTGAGTCTCAGTGAGAAATTAATCAATAATTCCAAAATTGGTGCTATGTGAACAGCACATAGAATCTAAAAATCATTGCTCAAACCAGGCATGGTATACTTACAATCCCAGCTACCCAAAAGACTGAGTCAAGAGGCTCACTTGAGCCCAGGAGTTCTAGGTCAGCCTGGGTGACATAGTGAGACCTTTTCATCTCAAAAATGAAAAGAAAAAAGATAGGATCATAGCTATCTGAGAACATGAAATGTTATTACTTAGCTACCTATTAATCAAAGTGATGATATTATAAGAGAAGAGAACTTCATAGAGTGGCACACACCTATAATCCCAGCTACTAAGACAGGAGGACCTTTTGAGACCAGAGTTTGAGGCCAGCCTGGACAACACAGCAAGTACCCCTCTCAAAAAAAAAAAAAAAAAAAAAAAAAAAACACTTTTCCACAATCAAGCAAGGTACAGTTTCTCTCTCTCTCTCTCTCTCTCTCTCTCTCTCTCTTCCAACAGGGTTAAATAACCAAAGACAGGATTGGTTGAATGTAAGAATGTAATATCTACAATAAGAGCATACTACTATTCAAACATGCAGTTTTTATAAACAGTAAAGATTTCTTATACTCTATGCATCAAAAATGATAGAAGTCAGCATCTCATTATATGTATTTTTTTTTTTTTTTGCATTTGCTGGAAATGAAACCCAGGGTTTGTGCATGTTACATACTTGCTATACCACTGAGTTACACCTCCAGTCCTCATTACTCTTTTCACTGATTTTCCTCCTACTATTTTCACAACAACAACAAAAATCAAAATATGACCCCTTCTACTTCCAAACTAGTCCCAGAATATTTGGTTTTATTGAACACTTAATAAAATTAATGAAGGCTTCCCAATTTGTTTTCCAGGAATGAGACATTTGAAGGTGTTTATGAAAATAAATGATTGTTTTTTATGTTCTAATATTTTCTTTGTACTGAATTCAACTTTACTCTGTATCTGTATTTTTAACAGATAATAAAGATTATGATGCTTACCTATCATATACCAAAGTGGATCCTGACCAGTGGAATCAAGAGACTGGGGAAGAAGAACGTTTTGCCCTTGAAATTCTACCTGATATGCTTGAAAAACATTATGGATATAAGTTGTTTATACCAGATAGAGATTTAATCCCAACTGGAAGTAAGTTAGTGTTTTCATTTGCATAATTTGTTTGCATCATTACTTTTTGCATAGAGTTTTAATTTGGGGTTCTTGACTTCAAAAATTGTATCTACTAGTTTCTGAAAAAGGAAATGTCTTTGTGCATTCATATGAAATTTAAGTTTTGATACCACAGAGAAGATGCTTAATTATTCTCTAAAGCATCTCCTTCTATGAGCCTTGATGAAATCAAATGAAATATTTGTATCTGGGAGAAATACTTCAAACATTACAAGATGTAAGGCCCAAGCTCTCTTCAAAGTGATGATTGGCTATTTTCATCTTCTCAAAGTGTTTCCCAACAAATGGCAATCCTCATGTAACTAGAGAATTTACCAGGGTTTTCTGGACCAAATGATTAGCTTGTTCATTCTTATACATTATTTTCTCTTTCTAGCATACATTGAAGATGTGGCAAGATGTGTAGATCAAAGCAAGCGGCTGATCATTGTCATGACCCCAAATTACGTAGTTAGAAGGGGCTGGAGCATCTTTGAACTGGAGACCAGACTTCGAAATATGCTTGTGACTGGAGAAATTAAAGTGATACTAATTGAATGCAGTGAGCTACGAGGAATTATGAACTACCAGGAGGTGGAGGCCCTCAAGCACACCATCAAGCTCCTGACAGTTATTAAATGGCATGGACCAAAATGCAACAAATTGAACTCTAAGTTCTGGAAACGTTTACAGTATGAGATGCCTTTTAAGAGGATAGAACCCATTACACACGAGCAGGCTTTAGATGTCAGTGAGCAGGGGCCTTTTGGGGAGCTGCAGACTGTCTCTGCCATTTCCATGGCCGCAGCCACTTCCACAGCTCTAGCCACTGCCCATCCAGATCTCCGTTCTACCTTTCACAACACGTACCATTCGCAAATGCGTCAGAAACACTACTACCGAAGCTATGAGTACGACGTACCTCCTACTGGCACCCTGCCTCTTACCTCCATAGGAAATCAGCATACCTACTGTAACATCCCTATGACACTTATCAACGGGCAGCGGCCACAGACAAAATCAAGCAGGGAGCAGAATCCAGATGAGGCCCACACAAACAGTGCCATCCTGCCACTGTTGCCAAGGGAGACCAGTATATCCAGTGTAATTTGGTGACAGAAAAGCAAGGGACATCCCATTCCTGGGAGTTTGAGCGGAATCTGCAGTCCAGTGCCTGGAACTAAATCCTCGACTGCTGCTGTTAAAAACATGCATTACAATCTCTAGAACACGAGGAAAAACAGGGTCTTGTACATATGTTTTTTGGAATTTCTTTGTAGCATCAGTGTCTTCCTGTTTTACCATGTCTCTTACCATTACATTTTTTGACTTTGTTTTATATGTCATTGGAATTTGTAAATTTACATTTTTTTTTAAAGAAGAGACTGATGTATAGGTAGAAAACCCTTTTTTGCTTCATTAGTTTAGTTTTAGAATGGGTTTTTATTTCCTTTTTTAAATTTTTATTTTGCTTTTAACATTTCCTTGGGGTGCTTGGACAAATCTATCTGATGGGACAAGGAGCACCGGATCCTCTCTCGAGTTCTGCCTAGGATCAGCTGGGCCACGTCGGCCTTCAGAGAGCAGTGCAACGAACGCCAGCATTGCCATTTGTGAAAAACAAGAGAGAGAGAGAGAGAGAGAGAGAGAAGAACACTTGTTCATAGGAGGGCCTACCTGTCAGGGCCCTGAATCTCTTCCTTGTCCCACCTCATTCCCCTCCTCTACCCTTCTAATGGCAGCATGATGTGTAAACTCTGCAGAGGGGTGGGGGTGGGTCTAACTGTCTTAACATTTAATTCACTGCTCTTCAGAATACACTCTAGACCCAAAGGCGTGCTAGTCACTTGACAGTGACCACTACAGAGTGCTAAGAAGAGAAGTTCGAGGGCATGAAAATGAGGGAGAGTGTTGTTTCCGTTTTTTAAATGAGTTGATGTACCCTTATATATATATATATATAAATATAAATATAAATATAAATATATATGAAACAGCAAAACAAAACAAACAAAAAAAACACAAAAAAAAACACACAAAAAACAAAAAAACAAAAAAAATCAAGCCCTATATTTGATCACTTCCTGGAAAGGCATGAATGTGTTTGTGGCTGTTTTTGTTTAATATTCTACTTCCTCTTTTCCCGCTATAATTTTTCTGCAAATGAGATTATGTGCAAATGCCAGGCAAGTTAACTCAAAAGGGTGAATCAAGGCAAGTCAAAATGAAATTTACATTGAAGTCTTTCAAACCAAAGGGAAGAACAGGATGTGTCATCAAATATGTTTTGTCACCTTGTATTATACAAAATGTTATTTTCTAAAGAGTCAGAGAAAATCTGTGAATCTTATTGTGCGTCCCCTTGTATTTAAATGTTAACTCACTTGTGTTTAATATTTAAGGCTACATTCAGGACTAAGTGTTTGGTTTCAGTTTGTGAATAAGCAACACATATTAATATAAGGTGTTTAAATAAGAACTCAGGAGGTCAAACATGAATAACAACAGAGATCAGTATTTTCAAAGTAAACATTATTTACAAAAGATAGTTTTTAAATTAGATCAGAAAGTATTTAAAATAATTAATTTTACTGTATAAAGAATTAATTTTATTTTAGCTATATGATTATATCATTCAGAAATAGAAAGCTGATGCTCCCAGGAAATTCATCACTTACCACTTAGCTTTATGTTTGAAATTGATGATATAAGCAGCTAATTCATATTCATGTTAAGAATGATATAAAATCAATCACAAAGGAACCTACAGAGAACAGAATTGTTAAAAGGAAATATTACCTATGTAGCTTTTAGTTTTACAAAAGTCAATGTGACAGAAACAGATAATAGAACTTAAACATTACTTTAGTGATTCATCAAAGGAACTTCCATCCCAGTCATCATCTGTGGACTCGTGTAGTGACTATTGTACATTTGCTTTATTCCTAACACCATATAATGAGAAAACAATTCTACAGTTTGGTGTGAGTTGTGAGTTGGCCACAAAAAAAGAATAAGTGTAAACTGCAATAGAGTTCATTGGGGAGGGTAAGATAGAACTGCAAACGTGTGAGAGATGAGTATAAGCATTTTATAACAGTGCAAAGGTCCCAGTATCTGTTTGACAAGGTAAAGGAGTCTTAGGATGTGCATTGATTTTTATTTGCTTAAAAAATGTTTACTTCCATGACAACTTGCCTGGGTCTTTCTCTACAAATCTGTCTTTATTCCTGTGCTCCCTTGGATCCGTGTCACATTTTCACAAACCAGAACAGAAGCTACAAGGACACATAAAACTTTAAGGTCAGCTTTGCACATTGGGTTATGTTCAGAATCGGAGAAGGCCATTGTTTACTTTGTATTATGGACACCTGTCAGGGACTGGTGGCAGTGAACCTCATTGGACTGGATTCCAAACTCCCCCACTGCTCAGAAAACTGTAAATGTGGCAATGGCCTGGTTTAATTCTTTGGGGTTTTTTTGAAACTTTTTATTTTTTTTTATTTTTTTTATGTGCACGATGGAAGTGTGGAATAAATGTAGAGGAAGTAATCAGACCACAGTCATATTTTAGGCATCCATAGGTGTTAATTTAGCTGCATTGGGAGTACATTTTTTTGTTCTATTTTTAGCGTAGATTTAAGCACTTTGAATAGCATGATTCAGGGATTGATGGGTAATATTTGATATTCTCACAACTTAAGGAACTTTTTTTTCCTCTAATGCTTTGTCATATTTAAAAAATGAAATAAATGCAAAAGAAGCTATCTATGGATTTAGAAACATTCCTCCCAAGTATTCTTCTATCAGCTCCATATGAGAACAAATGAAGGAAACTGTCATGTGTTCACGTGCTCTATGTTTAACAAAAGTTCTGTTAGAACTCACAATAAAATGAGAAAAAATGTATTTCCCCTAGTGCTTAGGTTTCATCCTTCTTTTTTTTTTTTTTTTTTTTTGGTGGGGTTCTGGGGGATAAGAATATTCTAGTTGTAAAAACACAATTGCAAATGTGAATATGTTAGCCAAGCTGGGGAAGAGAATGGACTTCCAGACTTGGTCATGTGTGACGTTTGGTATTGCCTGTTTTTCATCAATCGCCGCTTGGGCTCTGAATGATTCAAAACGAGTCTTAGGATTCAAAAGTCCATCTGGTTCTTTAGTGTAACCTCAACTTGCTGCTTATGAGCGTCCAACCCTTTATTCTGGTGCTCAAATCTTTGATTATTTAATTTGTACCCCATTTCTTAGGTCTTCTGTGGGCAGAGAAGATATTTGTATCTTGTGTAGCCAGCTGATTTAAGTTTAGATCAATTCTATGAAATCCAAGACATAGTTAAGAGTCACGAACCTACTACATTTCTATAGCTAAACACCTGATTGTTCAAATAGTTAATGATTTTGTGTTTATTATTTTGTTCATACTATATGTATTGGACCCTACTGACTTAATCTTAAATATATAGATGCTGGTTTCTTCCATATTTCAATATTATTAATCATTTTTTAACAAGAGCAAATATTAACTGACAGCCAGCTCCTAAACTCTAAGTTTTGATTATCCTAGAATAGTCCTTTTCAGATACAATTTATGTAAATTGATATCACCATTTCTAGGAAAACATTCATTCATAAATTTGTGAAGTATTTTCTGATTCTGGAATGATACACAAGTTCTCCCTATTTTAGGGGTATTTTTTATCTTGTGCTTAATGTCTTTTTTTAAAAAAAATAGTTTTAGTTTATAATCATTAGTCCCAGAAAAAAAGCTTATTAAAATTCAAAGGATAGTATTGACATTGTACCAGCAAAGTGACTTAATAGAACTAAAAGAATACACAGACATGAAAGAAGAAAATCCTTTATTGTCTGAACTAGCTTGGCCCTTAATACCACTATTGATGTAGTTAATTAATATAGGTAAAATATTATTAAATAAGTTAGAAACCCCACCTACAGACCTATATTCCCTTTTGTGGAAAAAAAAATTCTAACAGCATATGCAGTCATTACAAAAAGATGCTGATGCAACTGGGCTCCTTAAAAAGAGAAACTTGTCAATGGAAGCAGAGGCTATTCCTTGCCTTCTCTTGAATCCTGCCCCTTGATTATTCTGAACAAAGAAAGTAACCTACAAATTTTGGATGTCCTTAATAATAGACCTTAAACTTGAGGATACCTTGGATCTACAAAAGGATTATAAGAAATAAGCCCTTGGAATTCCAGATAAAATCAATAAACCTGTTTTTCTGGGTGTGAATCTGAAGACACTTATCACCTAAAAAGCTACTACTATTTGAATTTAGAGGATAGTCTCATACAGGAAAATTCATATAAACCCACATATCATGTAGACATGTTATATCTATCATTTGTTACTTTCATGAAAATTCAGGGGATGACTATTATTCTTCTAATAGAGGCAATTCCTCTTCCAGTGTAGCCTTTCTTTGTGGGAGAATAGTAAACTAAAATTTCATGATGAATATTTATGCCCAGATAAATGAGAATTGACTACTATTATTGGGATAGTTATTAATTTCTTCACCTATTCAAAGGGTAGTTTGGGGTAAAATTGTGCAATTGGCAATGATAGCATATTTATTAATCTTCTTTATGGTTTGTGTTTACTCATCTTTCCTTCAACAAAACTGAAATTCATATAATATACAAAGAGAATAAATAACCTTTTGATGTGTCTTTCCAAAAAGACCCAGCTCTTTTGTGCAAAGATTTAGAACAGGTAACTTGACTTTCAACAATTAAATCTTGACCAGTTTCATTAATTATGATATGAATTTGGGGTAATATAGAAAATTTTGAGAATAAACTGAAGTAAGGTGGTGGTTATTTAAAGTTTTAATTTTTACTTGTAATCCATAGCAAAGTGAAAGTTTATGCTGTTATAAATTGAGGTGGTGCCATAAGGAGCTATAAGAACTGACTAAATTTGAATAAAATAAGGACAAAGATGTGATGAGTTAATTCTAATATTAATCTTATGTGCCTTGTCATCATCAAATTTCAGTCACATCTGTAGAAAATGAAGACTAAAAAGGTAGTCACTCCAATCTTCTATTCAGTATCATTTCTTCACTCCAGGCTCAGAACACAAAGAATTTCTCCATTACAGATGTGTAAGATTTTATATATATATATATATATATATATATATATATATATATATATATATATATATATATATATATAATATATATATAGGTGTATATATATTATATATATCTTATAAATATGTATATGTGTGAGTGGGTGTGTATCAATTCCTTCTGCTCACTAGTAAATTTACCTCTAAATAGCCTCTGGGTCCACTGACAAACTCATGTTTCTCAATTCTCCATTAAAGTAAGTAAAGTACGGTACTATTTTTTCCTACCATTTACTACCTTCATTGATATATCTCCCAGAGTCCATAAGCCTGAAAACTATTCTCTTTCTAACAAAAGCAATCACTCTAAAAATAATCATCACACTGTGTTCCCTCCACTACTAAATGAGTAGAATCTGAAAAACTGCACATGAACTTCAGAGTACCACATGTAATATTGATGTCGTGTAAATTTCAATCTTCATAACCCAGATAATGTTAAGTTTCAAAGGGCATGCTGTGTCATTTAAAAAAAAGATTTAATGTGAAATGACATTATTACATAGTGCATGAATATGTGGCAAAGTAATTTGGATCTATCTTTACTAGTCAATGACAAATTAAATTTGGGGAGATCAGATGTGAGTGTTTTAGGTTTATTCTCAACTGGGAGGAAGACATCTTAATATTAGGATACATGGGCAGTTGTCCATATTCCTTGCAGTATATGTTCCTGTTAACTAGAATCCGTAGTGTATTCTTTCCACCAAAGTAGTGGAGGTATGTTCATATAATCTGCTATTGAATTACAAAAACTTTTACATTTTCAGAGTTTGAAGGAACCCAATAGGAAAGTGGTTTAGTCATTTTCCTCTGCTGGTGTTCAAGTCATATTTTGAACTCAGACACTCTCAGATCTGTTCAACAGTCAGTAAAAAGTGCATTTTACATAGTGTTTCCCTTTAGTTTTGCTTATCTCCTTTTGATTTTGTACAATCTAGAATGTATGTAACTCATGCGTAGGTGATGAAGGCACTCCTTTTTTTCTTAGAATATTTAACAATTATATATTTGGTTTTGCTTTGACTAGCAATAGGAAAATAGACAAATACAAGTGTAAAAATGAAAAATTTTAAACTCGAATTATAATTTGTGTTTTATAGTCGTTTCATAAGTCTGTTGCTCTCTATGAGTATGCTCTCTATATATCCTGTAAAAATAAATTTATATGTTACATAGAAATTCAAGAAATTAAATTATTTATTAAGCTACAAATGTTTCTTCTGATTTCTACGTGATCATAGATGAAAATAAATTAAATAATGTGTTGTTGGAACATATGTAAGTATGTTTGTTAATTTGATAACTCTTGTAATACTTTTCCTTCCCTCTCTATTTAAGCTTATAACACTTAGGCCTAATTCTTGTTGTGGTTTTGAGAAAGAGACTTAAGAAATGCCCAGTTGGCAGAGGAAAAAAAGAAGGAAAGAGAAACCTACAATTCCTTTTTTTTCTTGCTACTGGATTATGGAGAGATTCAAATCACTGATTCAATCACTTAAAAGTCATTATCACATTAATGGTCTCTTCAAGGTTAAATTCCACATTTTTCCTTCATAAACTTTAAGAAACAAAAATGAAAGGAATGATAACTTAAGAGTCTTTCTTTGCTGTTTCCCTTTCTTACTTTTTCTCCCCAGGTATTTTATTCCTTTCTTCTTTAGGTACTATTCACATAACAACCTTAAAATATAGTCCCCTCAGGTAATATTTTAAAGTGACCAAATCTTTAATCATCTTGTTATTCTACTCTGTTTGCATCTATTTGTAGTGCACATTCATTCCTAGAGGGAAATGTTTTTGGCCTTACTTTTCATTTTAAGTTTAAGATTAATAACCTTATGATTTATTTATTTGGGGGGAGGGAATGGTGGTAAATCTTTCCATCACAAGCATAACAAGGGAAAAACCATAAGCCTCTTAGAATGAATTGGTGTTTAAGCAGAATCATATCTTATGAGGACAGCTATTTAAGAAACACTTATCAAAGATGAAGCAGAGATAAATCATGAAAATTTAAAGTAATAGTTTTAAAAACCCTGTAAGGTTATTTTAGGCTGAATTTTGAAGTAATTAACATATTTAAAATTTCATAAAGTCATTTCTACCTCAGTAGGGTTTTTTAATGAAAGAAAATAACCTCTGTTGAACAAGCAAAATGATATAAGGATTATGACTCAGTGTATAATTTCCATGGTGTATTTTAAATTGTGAATCATAGAATATGACACATGATTCAAAATATCAAGAGAAAATTCTCAAGTTTAAAAAAATGTTTGGTATTACTTGTGTACTTCAAACTCACACATAAATTCTCAGGAATTTTCAATTATCTTCATATTAATGACAGGTTGTTAAAAAAAAACTAGCACTAATAGAACACCTTAAAAATTTCTAGAAAATTTCTAATTAATATCATATGTACATTAACTTCCAAAATAGAGAATGAGGCAAATATTCAGAGGATTGTAATAATGGTGGCCCAATCACTTATTGTTGTGGGATTTGGGGCATTTGTATATGGCCTATAAGAGTAATTCAAACAAACTCTTTGATTAATTTTGCATTTTCAAATCAATGCTTTATGTCTACTGGTATTGGTTTAAGGTAATTTAGTTAACTCAGAATCCCAGTTTTTTTTTTTTTTTTGTAAGAAGGCAGGTAAGGTTCTAGAGGATAGAGAATATCTCATTTTGACCAATTATTTAGCCAATTGCTTACCCAAATTAGCAATTTTCATACGTCAATTGCTTTTTGATTGCATGCAGAGTGAAACACTTATTAAACAGTTATGCAGTTGATTTAAAATTTATCAGGCCTTTAAAAATATAAGTATTATTTCATGGATACTCTATAGTTTTTCTTATATGGTAGAATGATATATAATTACAATACTTAAATTGAAACATAGGTAAATAGTAATCTAGGAATGATAACATATGGCAAAAGTCCTCAAGACTGTGAATGACTGGTTTCTGGAATAAAAGCTGCTAATACAATGAATTTTCTAAACTTTGGGGGGGGGGAAGGAAAAGAAAAACACTGATAAAAGGTAAAACACTCCAAAAACAAAGCAGAAGATCATGCCAACCGCCTACATAAACAATAAAGAGAACTACAAGATTATGAAAATCAAGAATTGGTTTAAACAACAAAATATTCAAGTTCTATTGTTTTTGTCAATAAAGAGCTGTTGAGAAATATGAATTTGAAAAGTAACCTGGGCTGTGAATGTGAGTTCCTTCTTAGGTGGCTTTAGGCTAAACAGAGAACTACTTCTCAGCATAATTTTCCCTAAATAAAATAGGGAATCAATTATTAAATATTATATGAATAGAAATTATGATTTTGGCATGCTTGATATTATGACAAAGATTGTGAGGGGTAAAATGGCTCTTTCATAGCATCCTTCTAAGGTGCCTATTAGTAATAGTTTGAAGTTCTGGGTGCACTTAGATTCACCTGAGAAGATTTTACAAGTTCCCAAATTCTGCAGGTTCATATATAAATATCTGGCCTAATGTTTGTACCCAATGTTAGTATTTTCTTAGTAAACTCCAGATGATTCTAGAGGATGACTACGATGAAAACTATAGGAACCAAACAAATGGGTCTGAAGTTTTAGGCTTCAGAATTGACTGAAAACCTTGTTAAAAATGAAAATTTAGGGTTGGGAATGGTAGAGTGCATGTTTAGCATGCACAAGGCCCTGGGTTCAAACCCATCACCATTTTTAAAAAAAGGGATAGTCATATTGGGCCCCAATAGCATGGGGGCAGTACCCCAAATTTATTTATATGATAGCTTCCCAGGTGAGCCTAATGTGGAGGCCCAGTTTTTGAGAATCACAGGTGAAGGATTTGTTGTTTTTGTCATTACAACTGTTGTTGCTCTTTGGAATGAAAATTTAATGATTACAGCTGATGAATCTCACTATAAACTGGGACTTCCTTTTTAAGTACTTGCAAATTATCATAAGATACTACAATTAAAAAGTCATGATTTAAGATGGGTGCAGTGGCACATATTTACAATCCCAGGGATTCAGAGACTCCGGAGGCTGAGTCTTAGAATAGATGGCTTCAAAATGTGCACTCTTTTTTTTTTTTATTATAAAAACTTTTATATGGAAAAGGGTGAGCAAGTAGTCAATAGACAAATAACACTTAGGATAACAGTTGCAATGCAGATTACTGACAAAGAGTCACTATCTATAAAAGAACTGTTACATATTAGCAAGAAAAAGAAAAACATTCCAAAGGAAAAATAGGCAACATGCAGAAAATTCTAAAGACCAACTGACATAAGAAAAGATGCTCAAGAAATCCAGTACGAGGTAAAATACAAAATAAACTAACAGAAATTTTCTACCTAATAGACTGGCAAAAAAAATTAATTAGTTGTTCTTCAGTATCATCAGGACAAATTGGTTCCAGGAATCCCCTCAAATGCTAAAATCTGAGGATGTTCATTGTTTCTTATACTATAAAATAATGTAGTATTTGCACAAAATCTGCAAACATTCATATTTTCTCTCTTCCTCTTTTTCTTTTTTTGGTGCCAGGGGTTAAACTTTTAAGCACTGAGCCACATCCCCAGCCATATATATATGCCTAGATACAGGGTCTCACTAAGTTGGGTAGGGCCTGCTAGGTTGCTGAGGTTGGGTTTGAACTTGAAATTCTCCTGCCTCAGCCTCCTCAGCCACTAGGATTACAGGTGTGTCCCATTACACCTGGCCTTTCATATGTTTTAAATCATCTCTAGATTACTTATAATACCTAATACAATGTAAATACAATATAAATCATTGTTAGAGTGTGTTGTTTAGGGAATAATGACCCAAAAAAGTCTGTACTTGTTCAGTACAGATGCTTTTGGTTTTTTGATGTTTTGTTCCATTTTGTAGAATAAAAAATGTGCATTCTTTAATATAAAAAATCACCTATTAACAGTAAATT